TCCCCTGACAACTCTTTTTGAGGCCCTACTGGGGTGTTATAATAAAAATGTTAAGTTGTAAGATTTGAATAAAAGATTTAATCCTCTAGCGGATAAATCAAATATTAGCTTTAAAAGATACTTGTGTGCATCAGGGTATAATGAAAAATAAAACCGTTTGTGTAAGAATGATAATAAATGTACGATCTCAAAAAGCCTGTCATTCTTGTAAAATAGAGAGAGAAAGAATCAAATAGTTATGATAGTGTTAATTAATTTGTATGTTGTTTAGAATTAACTAGAAGTTGCCACTGCGCAGTTGTAATGTTAAGAAAATAAACTTTAACAGGAAAAAGTTAAAATAAATTTGTATTATAGTTTGGAGACTTTACAAGTGAAAACTCGTATACCAATACACGCCCAGTGCGTTGTGATAGTTACCCACCTAGAGCATTTCCGTTGATTGTCTTTTTTTCTATATTGAGACGACAGGGAAAGAGATAATTATAGAAAAGACATTTTCAGATGCTCGTATATTGGTTTCAGTTTTCTTAGGTTTAATATTGTGACGACAGGGAATGTGTTTTTATTTTTGCCTAATATTTGCCTTTGATACAAAAGAGAAAGAACATAAAAATACTCGGCAATGGGGAATATACTAATCAAAATCTTCGTGCTTCGATCGAGTCTCTTTCTATTACTTAATCAGATTAATAGCATTGCTGGAATGCAAATTAAAATATTTTCTGCAACGTCATCATGTGACAATGTTATTGTTGTGACAGTATTAAGTGAAATGAAAAAAGAATGATATTAGTTTTATATGTGTATTGGATATCTTAGTTTAGGTCATTGTGCTTAAAAAGGTTGATTTTTTAAAATGATATAATGATGTCAAGGTTCTTTAAGTAACAATCGGATTTTCATAACTATATTTATTTCTCTTTATGTTTCTAAACATATTTCACAATCCTTTTTATATATAATTATTTAGTGGCACGTAAGATGATTTATGTTTGTAGAATTTATCTATGTTTTCGATTTCATTTGAACTCATTCGAATTTTGCTTTGCCCGCATTTCTAACTTGCATGAAATATCATGTACAATTTTATCCACTGTTTTAAACCTTACCAAACTTTTCTTTTCCTATCTTGGCTTGACATATAATAATGAAATAATTGTAACAAAGACACTGAAAATTGTTTTAGTTGCTTGGACTGAGATTCAAACCCAAAACCTCAAGGGGGAGCGCTGGCCTAGTGGTTAAGGTCTCTGCCTCTCAACCCAGAGATCATAGGTTCGAGTCCTATTTGGGTCAGGACCATGTTTCTTGAAATGACTCTAGTACTGGAAAGTGATTAATATAAGTTGCAAGAACTTGTTTTGTAATCAAGCTTAAATAAATATCTTTAAACCAAACCGCTTACTTACTACTCTTAACAAACCTTTATCTCATGCTTCGAATAAAGTTACCAAAAAAATTTCAGTAGCGAATAAAACGATTCTAAATTTAGAATTTCCATTAAAGTTCGTAATTCTTAAGTTGCTTGTTTAGTATGGTCATTTATACGTCATAATTATGACGAACTTTTTGTGGTATGACGAACTTTTTGTATACCACTTTCAAATTCATTTGATTGAAATCAGATTTCACCGTACTCGGCGTTTCGCATTACTATAATAATTTATGTTTTTGAAATAAGATTCAAATGATAAAAACCGACATTTGAAAAAAGATAAAGCTTACATTATACTAACAAATGATTACAGCTTATTGTATGCCTGTTTGATATTGTGTTTTTATATACTTTAATCATGCAAAGTTTACATAAGGTCTATCTTACAGATTTCATTCTGCCTTTATGTTTGCCTGAACATCTGGAAAAAAGTATCCCTCATAAGCTTTAAAAACAGCAAAATAACCTGAAAATAAAGACTCGGTTTGATTGGGTCTGTACGTGAGGTATAGTGAAATAGTGCAACATCTCTGAAACCACGAACGTTATCAAATCTAAGTTTTTGATAGTTAAGGACAAGTATTATTTTATGTTGAAAGCAAGAGAATATACCTACATGCCTTGACCTGATATGGTTATTTTTCATGTTAACAACGAAGTGTTTAATTGCTTTTTTCTAAATGCACAATATTAAGAAAAATAATACAAATGTAGTTATAGTTAATCGCCTGAATCCTTTTTGTATAAAAATGCTGGGCGTTCCTTTTAATCAATAAAAAAATGTAACATTAAATTGTTTCGTTATATAACGAAATTTAAATCAGACTATTTCTATCATTTATATGCTATATACAATCTACCATAGATCTCAGTAAAACCCCTTGTTGTGTCCCAGATTAGTTTACGAGTACCTTTTCAGTGTAAATGTCTTTTGAAATAGATACTTACACTTCGTGATCAAGCCTAACATAAGCAATATTTCAACAAGATGAGCAATTACTTAAGAATTGTTCGTAAAATATCAACGTAAAACATTTAAACATGTTTAATAAACCGAAATAAACACAGATATAAAGTAACATAATATGTTCTGCAAATAATTATTTACACTTGTTAATGATATATAATAATATGTCCTTAAATGCTTGATATATAATCTCTTTAACATAGCAGTTGGCCAATGCTGACACACGTTTTCTTTTTGGTAATGATGTCTTAAGAAGCATTGCACATATTTCAACCATAACAAAAGCATGGAAGTGCTTATCAAGTATGAGATAGAGGTGCACAATGATGATGATATGATCGTAATTGCAGTCTTACATTGATTATTGATATGAGCTCATGAGCTTAGCGGATGAACGGAAAAGTAATCCAATAGTTGTGGCACCTGCTTTATAAGCTTCAAATGATATTGCAGAAATAGTCGGTAATATTTATGTTACAGTACACTAAATCATAGCAGATAGAATGTTTTTATTATTTGTTGATAAATTTGTGCTCTTAACACAGAGTGGAACCCCATATGTATCTCAAAAATGAGCATCGGTAAAAATAATAAATTATAAATCGTAAATTTTTATACTTGTAATTTTTACTGAGTTTTTAGAAGATAGTGATTTACATGCTCCTGGATCATTTAACTGTTCTGCAAATGATTCAATGCAGCACACAGACAGTTAAAGTTGTAAAATTAAGTTACCTAAAAGATGTTTTAACTTTAAAAAAGAAAACGTTGTTTGAGGTTAATCAGATCTAGAGATGTCTCAGGCGTATGTATCTGATGTCTGTATCTAATTTGTCTGACCTCATTTCTTTTAATTTATATACGTAGTATCGTATTATGACACTACTTTTGATAAAGTACTGGTGGCGATTTAAAAAGATGTTATAATTGCACTTAATAGCCTTCGAGTCGCCACGTAGCTTTCCTCATTTTCATAATAAATTATCGAGTCCAAAATAATAAGTGTTGAAGATTGATTACTGCTAAAGATGGTGTTGAAGATATGTTTCGGATATAAATATACTTAATTTATCTTAATTAATCCAGTTCATTATTTATTTATTCATTAATTAATTAATTAATTATTTAATTAATTTATTTATTTATTTATTTTGGTTCTCATTATTTTTTAATTACTTTTAGGATTTTCCCCTATTCAAGACGTTCAAGTAGCATAAAAAATATTTAAATGTGTTGTAAGAATAGCTGGTCCATTACGTTGATACGTTGAAACAAGTCCTAGTAAAACACACGGACAATTTATTCAGTAATGACTGTTAAAAAATCATAACAAGTTTATTTATTGTTTATTCATTTTATTCTAATCAATGTACATAGTCTATACATAAAATACAATCGATATGAATAAAATATAGAATATTACCATACTATTATTAAATGTTTATTGACTTGAATTATTAAACTACTGTTATTGAATTTTAAGTGACATGAATTATTGAACTGTATAGATAGTTACAATTTTAATATAGATTTCAAATTTCTCAACCAAATTGTCCCTTGCCTATAAATGTCCGTTGAATACATAAATGTTTTAACTTACAAAAAAGACTTTTAGATATTGGTGGATGATGCTAAAACAGTATAATTATATACCAAATGCTTTAACAGGAGATGTGTTTTCGACATTCTGTTTCCCCGACAATAAACTAAAACTTATAAATAAGATAGTAAGATAAACACATATTTATCTTTTTTCGTTTTTACCCCAACATAGTTATGATTCACTGGTTACCGTACTGTCAGGGGCGATGTACACACCTAACTATTTCGCATGATTAAAATACTTAGACTTATTTTGCACATGTAAAACTTTGCAATGATGTAGTTACACAGTATGAATTTTAAAACATTCGTGTCTTATATATTATCATTACAATAAGATGCTTTGAATTATTTTGCTGAAGTAAAATTAAAAAGATTCTACTAGACTAGCCTGGGATTCAGGCGTTGACATTTTTTGCTTATTCATAACATACGCGCTATTTCATACTCGATCGAGTGTCGATTTGCCGAACAGAAGCACATACAAAAATCGACAGACTGGAACCTAGGCTACTACAAGACATATGGTTAGCCCCTAATATTATAAAAAGTTAAAAACATTATGATGTTTCAATAATTCTATAATTTCAAAATAGAAATTGTAGAAATTGTTAAAGTGTTCATTTAAACTTGAATTCATTTACCAACGTGCTTGCAAATATCATTTGTTGAAAGAAACATTTGATTCAGATGAATAAAACGGAAATAGAGAAAGATATATAATTACAATATTATGCAAGGATGTAATTTACATATATCACATGTACCTGCAGACATATATTTATCCAAAATGTGCAAAAAAGTGTTGTTTTATAATACATTCAATGTATGACGATACACAAAATTCGTAAGTGAAATTTTTAAAAATAAATAATAAATCAAATTAAAAGGAATACATATTTAATGATAGCTATCAATAGAGTTTTCTCATCTGTAAAGTTAATTAATGTCTAATAATTCAACTGAATAAAATGTGAAATTAACATCAATTACTTTTCATATATCTATTCGTTTTTGATGTAGTTACATACTAAGATATAGAATAGTCTCTCAAATCCACATCTAAGACTGTTTTAAGAAACCTGTTTCAAGGAATACATGTGCGACGAAAGGAAAATTAGGTATTTATATTAGGTATTATTCCGTAACTTTATATCTCGATAAATGCATGTACTACATTGTCTTAGATCCTGGAATCAATGGATATCAAACCCTCATAATTATTGGGATGAAATAGAATATTGAAGCGAGAATCATGTTCGTCTACTGTAACAGCAAGCCATGACAAAACGATTACTTACGGGTTTGGATCAATTGAACGGTACCCGGGTATAACATTATCATTTATGTCTGTTTTTAGGGTAATGAAACGTACTTTAATATGATAATATTTAATTAGTAGAAAACGCATGCATAGTTTTTATCGGACTGTATGGCCATTAACACATTTCTGCTTGCATCATGCCAAATTATTATATAAGACTAATAAGATTCGTAATTTTAAAAGTTATCATAAGAAATTGATGAAAGGCTTTGATTCTCATTTCTTTCACTTGAAGTTAAATCTTTTCATATATTATGCAAATACAACATTAATGTACATATTAAAATCATCGTCAATGATATTGAAAGCTATATAAGAAACAGTAACAAATAATGTATTGATATTGTAAGTGTGGAGTGTTGAATACCAGAAGAGCCGAAGCAAGACGTAAAGGGATACAATTAAAAGTAATAAGTATGAAAATTTTGTTTTTGTTGTCAATGTTCTTCAAACTATCTTTCGTTTCGACATTTTATTCGACTTTCAAAATTATGATAATGAAATATTCCCTTTGTTTTCATATATTGTGTAATAAAACGCTGTAAATATACACGGATGGGGTCTCAGATGTATAGAAGATATCTTATTCATTAGCATCACTTTTTGTTATCAACGTTTTTAAAATACACATTAACCTCCTGTCAAATTACAAAAAAGCGTTTATCTGATTTATAACTTACGTAAACCAAGTGTACTGAGGGAAGATATAGACGACCATCTATCTGATATGTTGGCATTGGAAATAAAGCAAGAAGGAAAAGTACATGTAGATTCATTTTCTGCAATTGAAACCTGTTCTTACATTTTATCATAATTATCATATTATTAATTAGAATACAGTATGTATTTTCATATTGAAGTTTTTAAAAGAGCGAAAGTGCTGAAAATATATAAATATATTGTGGCTTTTCTCGTTTTTTTTTTACGAATGAAAAGCGAACATATCATAACAGAACAGTGTGATATTGTATATTTTTGCTCTATACTTATTCTAAAAATATATAGATTATTGACCTAATCTTCGATGAAATGATTTTGTAAAAGAACAAAAAATGAAAAACCTTAAAAAATCATTAATCATAGTTCTAAAGACGATCTTTTCTTTTTTCATTTCATGACATATAACTATTTCTTTGAAGTCTTATTTGAAAAAAAAATGTTTTATCATACTTTGTTATATAATATTGTTATTACAATAATATGTATTATATTATATAATATGTATATTTAACGAACAATTGATAAAGAATGTTGGTCAAATCTTATATATTTTTCTTTGTTCTTTATGATGAAGATCTGTACTTTTTATATAAATTACAAAACGATAATATATTCTAAAAATACTAACGCTTATAGATTAAGATTTTCTGTGTAAATATGACTGACGATGGCTAAGTCTTAAACATTTTGCATGCATATGTATTTGTTATATATAGATATCAATCAATAGTCAACATAAGTTTCGTTTTTATTCAATCTTGAAAAGTATAACATTTGACTTAATTTCTATTTTCGTTTTAACGATATCATACATTTATCTTGTGACAAGTAATTTACGAGCAGATAGAATAGTCAAATCAATTTCTCGTGAGACCTTTTTATTTCTCATGAAATGTGAAACAAGTCAGTTTAAAAGATGACAAAGTTTGCACAGTCTGATCTTTAGGTGTATCTCTCACAATGTATTTGTTCTTTTTCATATTTCCCACAAGATTGCATGTCTTTTAAGAATGCCTTACATTTGAATTTGAAAATGCTTATCAATTACGATGGAAACTTATACAATTACAAAATCATAAACAAACTAAATAAAGATGATTTATTAGCTTTGTCAGTTTACAGAAACAAGGATATAAATAGTTTATAAATAGTAATATGCGAACATTACAACTCGGGACGTCCGCCTGCTTTGGTAATATCCTTCTTAATTTACAGTCAAAAGGAATAAGTTCTTTGTTCATTATCTAACTTTGTTTTTAAAAAACGACTAAAAGTGAAACAAAAATAGTTCAAAAAAGAAAATAATACTGATTTATAATTGATAATGGAGATATAGCTAATTTCTTAATGAAGTAATTATTATCTAACTAACTTAAACATGTCATATAATTTGTATTATCTATAGCAATTAAAACTATCGACATTTTCAATTTTGCCGTGTAGGGCGTTCTTTAGGTATTTCTGTGTTTTCCTAATTTCATATAAAAAACAATATGGAAACATTAAAGCTCGTCCAACACGGCTAAAAAAGAATGTTTGTGTGATTGAGCCTGTTCATGGATAGCAGTGGTAAATGCAAGTTACCGTCCATGCCCCCAAGTACAGGTATAAGTAGACAAGGTTAAAGACAGGTTAAAACAAAATATAATAAAAAGCAAGAAAAATAGTTAAAGGTTAATTACAGTTTCATGAAGGGATACGAAACCAAATATTACTTATGTCGCGTTGTACATCATACTTTTGTTATATGGATAACCTATCTAACACTTGTAATGTGACTATCAGACAGCGGCAGAATGATACAAATCTTTGATACATGATATCGTAATACTATATCTTATAACGCGTTCATCCTGACCAGCTAAAATGTCTAAGGTTTCTTTGGAAATCTAAACAAGGTGATCTGATCTTGACATATAAACTCTTTTTATGAAAAATATTAGCAAATCCGAACAGAAATAGGGACAAAATGTACTTATATCTCTTTTTACTTCACAAAATATTTTATGTTTTACAGTTGTGGTAACTATTCATTTTCAAGATTTCTACCTGTTAAACAAGTAAAATACACACCAAATTAATAATAATTATAGAAGTGTATTTTATCTACCTATTTTTCTGAGCCGACAGTTTATGCTTGTATTTTAACTGTGTTTTTGGAAGATAGTGGTTTACATGTTGATGGATTAATTACTTGATCTGTAAAGTAAATGATTCACACAGACAATTAATGTTGCAAAATTAACTTACCTAAAATGTATTTAAATTGAAAACAAAGTTTGGGTTAATCAGATCTAGGGATGTATCAAATGTCAGTATCTAATTTGTCTGACCTCATTTCTTCAAATTTATATACCAAGTATCGTATTATGACGTATTTTTGATAAAGTACTGTGATGTTATAATTACACTTAATGGCCCTTGTTAATGATTTTCACTATGTATTATCGAGTACAATATAATACTTGTTGAAGATCGAATACGGCCAAAGCTGGTATATCAAGATATGTTTTGTTTACATAATTATATTTAATTTATCATAATCCAGCTAATTATTTCATTTCGTATTTATTGATAAATAAATAAATAAATAAATTATTTAATCAATTAATTAATTAATTAATTGATTAATTATTTAATTAAATAATAAATTAATTAATTAATTAATTAATTTATTTACTTATTTATTTATTTGTTTGTTTGTTTGTTTGTTTGTTTGTTTATTTATTTATTATTTTTGGTTGTTATTATTTCTTAAATTATTTTAGGAGTTTCCCCTTTTCCAAACGTTCATTCAAGATGTATATTTAAATGTGTTACTCGAATAACTAGCTGGTCTATTACATATGCACGTTGAAACCAGTTCCAATAAAATCACAAACATAGACAATTAATTCAGTTACGACCGTTTGAAAAACATAAACATGAATTTATTATTTATTAACTTTAGTTTAATCACTGTACATAGTTTATATATAGGTGTAAAATAAAATAAAAATGTATGTAATATAGAATATTGCCATCCAGCTAATTATTAAATTATAAGTGAGTGGAATTATTGAAGTGTATAGATGGTAAAATGTTTTAAAAGATTTCGAATTTCTCAACCAAATTGTTCCTTGCCATTAAAAACCGTTGATATAGCAATAAGCCGCTGAAATATCAAATGTAATTTACAAAATTATGATGTTTTAATAATTCTTTATTTTCAAAAATATATTTCGCAAATGCAGTCTTTCTTCATAAAACGTATTCAATTCCAAAACGCGCTTGTAAATATCATTTGTTGAAAGAAAACATTTGATTCAGATGAATACAACAGAAATAAAGAAAGATACAAAGTTACAATTATATGCAAGGAGGGATTAATTTATATAAGTCGTATGTACCTGCAGGCATAAAAGTGTTGTTTTATATAATTCATTCAATATATGAGGATACACAAAATTCGTAAGTAAAAATCAACATTAAAATATTAAACAAAAGTAAAAGGCATACTTAAAGGCATGTTCAATGGCAGATATCAGCAGAGTTTTCTCATCTGTGAAGTTACTTATTAAAGTCTAATGATTTAACTAAATATTAATGGCATAAAATAAATTTACTGTTTACATATTTATTCGTTTTTGAGGCAGTGACAAACTAGGCTATATAATACTAGTAGTTTCTTTCATATCCACATCTAAAGACTGTTTGAAGAAACTTGTTTCAACAAAAAGATGTGAGACATAACGGAAATTATGTGTTTAAAGAAAGCATTATGACTGTCTGGAATGTCATCGTCTTTAACCGTTGCGTGGAATATTGGCTCCTTGTCACTTGTTCTTGTTACTGGGTCGTGTGGGGGTTGCGTGCATTGAACACACCCTTTCCTTGCTGATCTTGTTATCAAATTTAACTTTTATCTAGCTATATACAATTGATCAAGCAGTAATAAACCCTTAAAAATTATTGGAATGAAATAGGGTATTGAAACGGGAATCATGTTTGTCCACAGCATGACGCATGACAAAAACGATTAGTTACGGATTCGGATCAATCGAACGGTAATTAGACATAAAATAATCATTTATAACA